ACATGCGAGGTACGAGCTTCTTCTGTTGTAGTGTCTGTCTACGAGAGACTAAGGAGGTCCCGGTTCGAATCCGAATCGAGTTGATACTTGCTGGGGACTGGCTTTATTTTAATATTTAGGCGCATAAGCTTATTTCTGTTCAAACTTTGAGACAGTTCGCCTCGGTGAGTCGGCTGAAACTTCAAACAAATGTGAAATGGGGATCACCTCAACAAAGATCGGAGTCTGAAATTATGGGGAAATTAACGCAGACCAACACTAGAAAATAGACATAGCATGAGGTCTTACAATGAGCATTGAGAGCCCAGGACAATGAGTTGGGAAGCATAGCGAATCTGGTTATATTTACGTGTTATGTACCTATGTTTGTCGGCACCCTTCCTTCCTCCCTCTACCTTATCTCCATTCAACCCCACGGTTTACCAACAGTTCTTCCTCCCATACAGTGCGACTTGGTTTAGAAGCCTTGGACCCCCAACAGCAATCTCATATCATGCTCGAAAGTGTCCATTGGGACGATGCTGACCGTCGCCCGTGTTGAAATGGGGCCTGTCACGCGTCCTCCGGGCTCCCCCGTTGCCATCGCTTTCCCCCTTTGTGTCTCATTTACTGCGGACTCTCGATCACACATATATTGCCTCGACATCGCGTAGATACTCTAGCTTTATCCCCCATCACACCTGTACCCCCCCGTACCGTTTCTGCGTATATATCCTTGCTCCGCGCCCACGCTCGTGTGACCTGCCGACTTCCAACAGTCCGACTCTTATCTCCTTGTCAATGGATGTTCTGTACATCATCTTCGCGCTGATTAGGAACCTTGGGTCCAGCGATTTTCCTATTTACGACCAAGAAAAGTGCACGGGCACTTTCTTACTCCCCTTATCTCAAACCTACCGCTACATGCCAGTGCGCCACCAAACCCTGCGGTTTATATTTCGCGAAGTGTACAATTGGCCTTCCGGGGACGGAAACACCCGCACCGGAGAATTATGGCCAGCGAGCGTGTTGCCCTGTTTTGTGTAAGCCAACCATCAATTCAATTCGGGTCTGTTAATGCTTAGGCTCAGATCGTACAATGCACCATCATCCTCGGCGACCTATACCCCTCTCCAATGTCATACTCCAGACTCCAGTTCCTGCAGATGATGCAAAGATGATGTCTTCGTTGCGACGATTCTCTGTTCGAATGACTGAACAGATTCCCAATACACTCCTTCAGGCGCTTTCGGTCAATATCCACGGCGCGGGGAACTATGCCATCGAAGCCGTAAACAGATATCGTCAGAGATTCGAGTGTAGAGAATGGTAATGAGGCGGCCGGTGATGGACCGTCCTATCGCGCCTCATAGATCTCGAGGGATCGAAGGTCGGGGGCCGACCTCGAAACCGCCAACGTCACCCTGCTGTTGAACGCCGAGCGGGAGACACTCAAGGCGCTGCGGGTCTCTATCCCGAGAGTTTTTCGCTTCTGGAGTGGCTGTCCCTGCACACCATCAAAATGTCAAAAGTCTGATGAGTATGTAGCTTCGTAAACCGCAAGATATAACACAATAAATTATCTTTTAATACAGTCAGTCTCCATGCCCCAGCCCAGCCCATTATCGGCCTGCTTCGCTCCTCATCCGTCCGTTAATCCATACTCCTCCAGTCAGTAGTCTGTAAGCTGTAAGTAGCCGCTCCCAAATCCGAGCCGACGTTCCATCGCCCCTGCGCTCCCATGCCCCTGCGCTCCCATGCCCCTCATCTCCAGCGTCGCGTTCAGCGCTCCTGCTGCGCGTCCATCTCATCGTTGTCACCCTCGTCGTCGTCACCCTCCTCATCGTCGTCCCCCTCCGCCGCGTCCCGCGCCTCCAGCTCCGCGATCTCAGCGTGCATTCCCGCGAGTACGTCGTGCTGGTGCTCGAGCTTGCGCGCGCGGATCTCGAGCTTGAGGTCGCGGAGGCAGGCGCGGAGGTCGACGGACGCGCCCTCATCCCAGCGCGCGAGGGCCCAGTGGCGCATGTAGATGCTGACCTGGGGGCGGGGCGGGTTAGTGGGTTCGGACGAGGCGCAGAGGGGGAGGAGGGGGAGGAAGGAAGGAAAGAGAGGGAAAGGAAAAACGCACCTTCATATTGCGCTTCCCCGCATACTTCTTGTAGAACCCCTCGTGGCGTACGGGCGCAAGGACGTAGTGCAGCATGTGGTTCGCGACGGGGACGAGCGCGCTCTCGGCGTAGCCCGCATAGTGCGCGAGGTTGGCCGTCCACGCCTCCTCGCCGAGCGCCAGGCGCGCGAGCCACATGGCCGCCGCGGCAACGCGCGAGGGCGGGTACGGGATGAGCCGGTGCTCGAGGCACGCGATCTCCGCGAGGTACTTGGCGACTGTGCGCGTCTGCGTGTCGTAGTCCTCGACCTTGCTGATGCGGCGCAGGAACCCGACGGGGCTCGAGTAGGAGAGATTCCAGTCGAGCGCACGCAGGATGTGCTGCTCCGCCTGGAGCATGTCCGCGGCGGTGTGCGCGCCCTCGGCGATGTGCACGAAGTTGGCGACGGCAGGCGCAACGGTCTCCTCGTACTTGGCCGCGATGAAGAGGCACGCCATGCCGACGAGCTGGACCTTCGTCGGGGGATCGCGCGCGTAGAGAGGAAGCGGTCGACGAGGTTCGTGCAGAGGAAGAGCGTCTCCGGGAGCAGGCGGTAGCGCGTGTGCACCTGGAGGAGCCACTCGTTGAGCAGGCCGCGCATCGCCCACGTGAGCTTGGGCTGGTCGTCCATGTACGACGGGTTCGGCATCGTCGTCAGCTGCGGGGGGGTGTAAGCGTGCGGATGGAGGGGAGGGGAACGGGGGCACCTCGGCCTCCATGAGGTAGCGCTGGATGTCGACGACGTACTCGCTGACCATCAGCGGGTCGTCGTAGTCGGCCGCGTCGAGGTCGTCCCAGAATCGCCGTCCGGGTCCGCCTCGGGCTCCGACTCGTCGTCCGAGTATGCGTCCTTTGCGCCCACGGACGATGTGCGCTGACGCTTGGACGTCGGTGCTCGTCGTCCTCCTGCTGCTCGCGTGGAGGACAGGGATCAAGGACGGGCGACTCGACAGTCGGCGGTGCTCCGCCTCACGGACGCGCGCCGGCGGTGGCGGTACGAAGACCGGCGCCCGGTTCTCAGTGGCCACCGGGAGCGCACGCAGCGGCACACGCGCCGTCATCGCGGTCGCCGCCGACTTTTTCGGTAACGCAGCGATCTTGCGACCGTCCTTGTCCGTGCGCTTGACGCCGCGATTGCGCAGTGCGGTAAGCTCGCGTAGGGCCTCCCGCTTGCGTTTCGCGCTGGCCAGCGCCTCGTTCTCGCGCTCGGTCTTGGCGGATGCCACTGCCGCATCGGTGGCGCCGAGGACGGTCTTCGAGGGGCCGGCAAGCACACCTGCGCGTCCAGGAAACTTGGTGCGCGCGGCTGTGTGCGATGGACGTGTAGTCATGATGTTTTCGTTTTCTGCGCCTGCGGTGCGCCCGCGACGTATCTGGGAGTAAAAAAAATAGGTGGGGTTGGGAGGACGCGGCAGAGGTTAACATACGGGTATTTTGGATGCCATGGAAAGGTGGCAAGCCTCTGGGGATATGCGATGGATGGAGGAAGGGAGGGTGCCGTCAAACATGGGTACATAACGCGTAAATATAACCAAATTCGCCATCCGCGTGATCACATCCCAACCAGTGCTGTCAAGGTCAGACAATAGGGTGTTTCATAATTAGATTTTCGGGCCCAACTCGTGCCTCAACTCGCGTCCCAGCTTGAGCTAAGTTGAGGCACAAGTTGGGGCACAAAATCAGAGTTGGATGTCAAGTTGTGCATAGGACCACGACTCGACATCCAACTTGTGCCCCAACTTGTGCCCCAACTTGATGTCCCAACTTCGGCTAATTCGGGTTCCCGGGCCAGAAATTGCATCTTTCGTGATACGCGAAGCATTCAACTTTGCCCCAATTTCCGAGTTGAGGCAGAATCATTGCCTCAGGTGTTTCACAAACAAGGCCTCAACTTGTGCCTCAACTTGGCTCAAGTTGAGGCCAAGTTGGGGTCGGAGTTGGGGTACAAGTTGGACCCAAAATTCTAATTATGAAACACCCTAATGAACTTATGAAGGTCAGAAAAAGTCAAAAAATTGTGACCCGTTAGCCGTCTGATCCGTCAGTGAACCCGTCAGACTTTGGTTAAGGAGAGTCAAGGATGATCGGACCGAAGTCATCCGAAGTGCCCGAGGAGATGACAGTGTTGATGACGTGATGCTCAGAAAAGATGCAAAGGGAGGCGGCAAAAGTCAATGGGGTCAGTGATCGACCCGACAACTCCTGACTTTTGTCTTGACTTTTCTGACTGACCCCGTCAGACGGGGTCAGTGACAACACTGATCCCAACTCATTGTCTTGGACTCTCAATGTGCATTGTACGACCTCGTGCTGATCTTCGTCTCGCAGATTTTATGGTGGGGTGGTCCACATTAATTTCCACGCCAAGTAATTTTGGACTCCGATCTCGAGTTGAGGTGGACGCGCGTCACCCCATTCTGCATTGGTTCAGTCGACTCACCGGGAACGAATTGTCTCAAAAGTTCAGAGTAAAGCGAAGATTACCTGAGAAAAAAGCTAGTCCTCAGCGAATATCAACTCGATTCGGATTCGAATCGGGAACTCCTGTTGAAATTCTCAGGCATGGTTGAAGAAACAAGAGCAGCACAGGCCTAGGACCATCCACTATCCAGTTACTCAATGGCTCGTTCGAGATCGATTCTCTAGGTGCTGGGACACACTTTTCACCCGCTAAAACGAGGATCGGCGGGCCATAATATGACTCGAGCCGGAAACGAACCGACCTACTGAGAATTCCACTCAGCTACCACGAGGACCAGTTGCAACCATCCGCCATCAAGCCGTTCTAAACTCTGCTCAATACTCGAATTTATACAGGCCTTGGCTCCGTGTGGGGAACAAAATTGAAGCAAAAAAGGCGCGCGCCGTCTACTATGACTCGAGCCGGAATCGAACCGACACCTCCTGCTAACACTCATTTGCTACAAACACCAGAAGCGGTTGCGGGCCATCCACCATCGAGTCGTTCTATAATTCTATGCTGCGTTCTACGATGTATACAGGCCTTGAATCTGGGCGGGTAAGGAAATCAAACTAAAAACACAACTACAAGTACCTTGCACGACTCGAGCTGGAATCGAGAAGAACTAGGAGCAGTTGCCGACCATCCGCTATCAAGCCGTTGCAATTTACACCTAGGTCTCGAATATACACTACTTAAATAGGAAAATTAAAGTAAAAAAGCGAACCGCGGCCACCGTATGACTCGAACCGAAATCGAACCGGGACCTCCTGCTGACTGAGGTGGAACACCAGAAGCAGTTGCAGACCATTCGCCATCGAGTCGTTGTAACCCTCAACTGTTTGTTCGAAAGAGCTCCCGAATTCCTTACAATGAAGGGAAACCGGAACTGTCGAGAGAAGGGAATTTGGGCCAGATAGATACATGCTGCTAATTTTTTTGAATGGCAAGTACACGAGCAAAATGAACCAAGTAACGAGCCTCTAAACTAGAACCTTGGTTTATCCTCCGAATGACTACTGTATGTTGGACCCGACAGCAGCAATCAACTTCGAACCGCACGAAACGTGCAGCACCCCGCTGGAAGGAACCCACTTTTTACAGGATTCTCTGTAACCGAAAATCCGCCCCTCAGGTGAATGGAAGGCAGGATCATTGCGGGCAGTGTACTGGACCATAGAAATCTCCAGGAAGCTCTCGCCGATTCATAGTAGTCCAAGTCAATTTGCCAACTCGCAGGCCCCGGAGTTGACCGCCAGGCGACCAGCAGGGCAAGATGGAGGCCATCCGGCCAGCGAGAAATTTGAATAAGCGGCATCCTAGTTCAGCCAACGCTTCAGTACAAGTGCAGCGGTAAGTGCAGGAAGTAGATACTATCGACAACCGGGTAACCGGCCACTTAAGCATTAATTGTGAGTTTTCGAGAGCCATACTGTCCCTATGCAATCAACTGTATGTTGAAATGATGGTAGGTATCCTGTGAATGGTTCAAGACCATTTCCTCGAATTTACATGAAGTGTTGGTGGACCGGTGAATTTCCTTTCGCCGGCATCCCCAACAAGGGCAAATACTAGGTAACCGGCCACCCCGTCAATTAAGCTCCGTAGGCGTAAACTTGCGACCTCTTCATTCAGGAAGTATACATAGAGCGACTATATTCTGTATAATTTGGGTGTACATACATACAATGGGACGGGGAAAAATAAATGCATGTGACAGCAGCAGAATCTGCGGAATCGCAGATTCTCGACTACCAAGGCACCTCGTCAGGACCAGCCACTGCGGCGGCCCAAAATGGGGTGTTTATCATTTCATACGAAGTATATGGACATACCAGGATGCCCACCACCACGTCCTTCGACCCTTTCCCGTGCTTGCGAAAGAGTCATGGCCGCATTAAAACAGTTCAACCCTCGAGACAGTGTCCTGAAGCAGATTCTTGACGTTCTCGGGATGCTGGAGAACGGCATTCTTCGCATTGATGACCTCGAAAATGGCACTCGCTACTATATGAAGAGAGGTCGACAAAAAGGCGAATTCCGCAGCTCTTGCTGAACATCTTGAGAAGCTTTAGCGACGAGCGAATGGTAGTGCCGAATACACATAAATGTGCTGAGAAGGAGTGTCGTAGTCGTTGAAAAGGAGGAAAACATTAATACTGGAAAAAGTTGGGAGAGTATGTAGATAAGAGAAAGAGGAAAAGAGTACACATCACGATCAGCGATCAACAGATCTTGCCGTACCTACTATCACCGACTGCGAAACCGGCCAAACTAGGAAACCGGCCACTTGGCCTCTGTTGAGGCAGGACCTCCTGAAATGTCTGAGTTTGAGATTGAGGGAGGGAATGGGACCTCCAACGTTACTCCATACCATCTCTGAGTCTCAACCAGAAGTGAGGTTCGGATCAAGATTTATGACACGTGCAGTGTCGGCCGACGGACTCCGAACAGTGTTTCCTTCCTTCCGCATGACTGCCCTCGCTCTTTCTCTGCCACTCCTCCGTCGTTCAACAACTTCCTGGGCTCATTCTGCTCCCACGATGCAGGGCTTCAATCCATGATAACATATAACATACATTCTCTTCACACACTCTTGCTATGGCACGGATACACCGTGACTTCGATCTTGAGTGCTCACGCCGGCCATGTTCACATCGTGCGACCTGTCCACGCTATGGGTCTGAAATTTGGCAAAGATTTTTGAGATCGGGACTCCTCCAGCTTGGTGTGTCCTCAAACTCTTCCTTCCTTCAATTCCCTTCTCACCGCTTTCCTTTACCTCAAACCACTGGAATCTGGTGCCCGAGATCTTTAGATTTTTTTTAGGAGCTAGGTGATTTTGATGACGACTTGGACGAAGACATGTAGTAGATTGATGTATTTATTTTTAAACAGGTCTGGGCGATGGCAGACTGTAAGGAAAGTGTACTTATGCACTAGGGGGTAAAAATCGGGTTTTTTCAGTGGCTAGATCCCGGACAAAATCTGGGCCATCCGACGTAAAACCTGTCCGGACAAGAATCGGCCGATCGGACGAATTCGGGATCTAGCCTCCACAGGGATAAACCGGGGTCCTCTCCTACCCCGCCGCTACGGGAGATGCGGCAGTGCTACGCGGCGCTACGGAGAAGGCAATCTTGAGGCGATTTGCTACGCGGTGCTACCACGTGCTACGCCGCTACCGACCCAAATCAGGGTTTGCTGATGAACGCTGTCAGCACATTTCGTCAGCTTGACTGCCTGTCAATCAACTGCCAATGCATCTGGAAAGCACCCGATGTCTACAGCGTACTACAGCGAGGCTAGTAGAGCAGTAGATCTGTAGCCATGTCCCCTATATAATAGAGGCAATAGACGGGTGGACGGTAGAGCGGTAGAGCTACATAGAGCCATATAGAGCACATGTTGCCATGGTAGAGTCTCGCTTCAGCTGCCGAGCTCACTGTTCCGGTCATTATCCGGCTTATCTAGTTGTTATCAGTTGCGGGTAATCGCCCGTATCTATATCGGCACGGAAAGACAGGAAAATAAATAAATATTCTCGGTACTGCAACTACTCTACTTACTACGCTACTATACTATACACTTAGCCCAAATGAAAGCGTGGAAGGATAATTGAACACGGCGCAGGAAGACCCAAAAAGTAGTCCAGTTGGCCACCCGAGCGCGGTGAAGAGCAGCCTGAGGCAAGTACTTGAGGAGCTTGACAGGTTGACCAACTGGAGTGCTTGCGGGAAAGTTGAACGGATTGAGGAGGTTGTGCTTGCATCTAGAGTGTTCTTGAGGCACGAGCAGAGTCAGAGAAGCCACAAGACGGGGAGACTCGGACTTGGAAGAGGGAATTGGTGGGGGAAGAAAGGAGCGGTGATGGATCGCGTCGACTTCGACTTGGCTTTTTTAAAAAAAATGCAGTTGGCAGTCATCAACCATCATGATCATCATGCATGCATGCGGTCCTGGTGATTCATGTGAAACAGAGCCTCTAGAGGGAGCGACAAGGAGCTCGGCCGCTACGGTTGTGTCAAACATCTATGTAGCTCTACCGGGAAGTGCCGGCTCTACTCAGTGCTACCTCGTAACCGGCTCTCTATGCCGTGAACGTGGTCTCTACATGTTCAAAAGGTGTTTCCAGATGTGACTCATCAAGGACTCTTTTGACTTGACTAGACTTGACTGCACCATTGCCCAACACTGGCTCAGCGCTCAGCCTTTGCCTGGGCACAAGTTTATGAACGCACCTGCAGCAATCATCGGCAAGCGACTCAGCCGACGACAAGCCGGTGCTTCCGCGAAGACATATGACTGGTGCCAGCGGTCTGCTAAAACACAACAAAGGTGATTGGGCGCCCTATAAGAACCCGCACCTAGAGGTAGTTCCGCAACACATCATAACGCAATCTATCGACACTCGGAAATAAATGTGGGACCGCGCGTAACAGTATTAAAGAGTCGCGCACTGATCGATATCCCTATTCTCCAGGCTCCTCCATGACTGCGCCCCACGAAGAGTTCCCTTTGCCTTTGAAGGTGTCGGTGGTCGGTGCGGGGATCGGTGGGTTGGCTGCTGCGATAGCGCTTCGCAAGAACGGCCATATCGTCGAGGCATGTACCAGCTTGAAGCACATAACCACCCGCCTCTGATCCTGCGCCAGGTTTTCGAGACCTCTGGAATCAAAACCGAAGTAGGCGCTGGGATTGCGATCCCATTCAACGCGATGAGAGTCTTCGATCACTGGGGGACTCTCCATGGACAATCTGAAAGGCGTTAATTCTTATGGGGTATATTTCGCAAGCTGAACTTTTCTTATGGGTCTTTACGAATGGTGCGACTTCAGCTTATGGTCCTCGATTCCAAGACCGGCGAAGGCATCACTCGCCGTTGCTCGGTCCCGGACGTCGAAATTCAGGTATTCTCTCGAGTTATTGTTGAAGGAATTCGCAGCTCTAACATGTATCAGAGTTTATTGTGTCATAGAAGTGACGTTCACAATGAACTCATGCGCCTTACTGTCGGCGCAGGTGATGGACCGCCCGTTCAACTTCATCTCGGAAGCAGAGTGCTCGAATGCGACTTCGAGAATGGAACAGTAACTTTGGAAAACGGTGATACCATTCATGCCGATCTCGTCATTGGCGCCGATGGGCTGCATGTACAGTGGGATCTTTACCATTATTAATTCTACACTGACTCTTCCCTTCTCCAGTCTGTGATACGCACCAGCATCTTAGGCGACGCTCAGACGGCATCTGCCTCGGGACTCTCCTGCTTTCGCAGTGTCTTTGACGCCTCCAAGGTGCAGGGTGACTTTGACTGGTTCACCGAAGGAATTTCCGGCGCGCGCAATGTGGTAGTGAAGGAGGGGGAATATCGCCTGCTCTTCACGTATCCCTGCCGGAGTGGCCACTTAATCAACCTCCTGGCCATCTACACAGACCCGCTCCAAGACGATCCAGGTCAGCACATAATCCTGGAAATTTTGAGCAGCGGCCGACATCTGGT